CCCCAAAACCCCAAAACCCCAAAACCCCGCAGGGCAGAATATGAGAATGAAGAAGTAAGTAAAAAAACCTTTGAAAGTAAATTACGAGGGATGAATAAAAAGTGAATTAGAGTTTTGAAATTCAATTACATATGAGAGGGGAGTTGGCGTAAGTTATGGTTGAAGGTAATCTCTCTTAGTAATTATTACTTCATTTCATTTACGACTGATTTATAGGTTGATCAGAAGCTGATATCTCTAGTCAATCATCAGAGAAGAGTACCTTTTAATGAGAGAGCGGCATAAATTTATACCCTTAACCTTTGTAGAATTTGTTTTGGAACTCTACCCAATGCAATCTTAGGTCGTGTAAGAAACATTCCATTACATCCATGAACATTAAAACGAAGAAAGTAACCAATGCAAAGACAAAGAATGATAGAGTCATCTAAATATAATAAGACTAGAAAATGAAACATACCAAAACAACAGAGTTCTCCTCAAGGGCCATTCCAATTGTTTTTTCGAAAAAGACTTTGGCTAATTATCCATGAGCTAGTGATAGTGCCCAAAGTCTGAGATAAGATGCCGTGTTAGAGACTGTTCCTAAGACAAATTCGATAGTCTCAATCAGCTAATGAATGAAGAGTTCAGAGAATGCATGAGATTTATGATCTGAAGAGTTTAATATGCTTTTGTACCATTCGATCTCAATCCCCTTTTGTTGAATCAGCTTAGATTGTTCATCTGGATCAATATGATCGAATTCTTCGTGTTCTTCTCTCAGTTATTCTGCTGATCTTGAATGGAGAGCCTTATGCTAATTAATATGCTGTCTGTGCAAGTGAAGTGGTTTGACAAATAACATTAGAGGTACACATCCAAGGCAAGTTAGTATCAAGATATTTGAGAGGAGCATTTAGAATGTGTTGCTAACAATTAAAGCACTACCATTGATTTCTCCACCTTTAAGAGCTACATTGATCATTTAAGTGATAACAGATGGAGCTTAATACTCTCTCCCTTCCCAGTCAGTTAGCCACTTTAGAATGATAAGTAAATCCATGAAGCCGAACAAGCAAAGTAAGAAAATAATCTAAGGCACAAATTCAAAGAGGAAATCTATGGCAGATTTATGATATATAGCATTGAGTCCCTTCATGCAGATACCAAGTGACATCTATAGAACACCCAGTATAACTGCCATTTTCATCTTGAATGAGTTGAAAAATGAGAGTTCATTTGGACTAACATACCATTTAGGATCAAAGCCAAAAGGATAAACGCAATCTTTCTTTTGCTATACTTCTTTAGTTGATCCTTAAACATTTTCATAGCATGAACCAAACAGATTCAAGGGCATAGCCATCATATCATTATAGATAAAACCACAATAAGTTGCAAAGAAACCCATAGTTAAAAATAGATACCTTGCCTTAAGAAGACCTGCCATAGATTTGCTGTTTTATAGGATTGAGTCATGTCTCAAGCAGAGATATGCTCCAAATAGGAACAGTAAGAAACCATGGCCAATATCACCAAACATTATTCCGAAAAGGAATGGGAAGGTAACCATATTGAAGGTGGTAGGATTTACTTCTTTGTAATTTGGAGTTCCGTAAGTAACTACTATCTCGTGAAATGCATACTAGAATTCATTGAGTTAAAAGTATGTTGGTGGAGTCAACTTATGATCTGTGACTGGTCTTATTTGAACGATTCTATCAGGAAAATTTTGAATTTCATCTAAAACACTCTGAGTGAATTTAAGTGGTACCCATATTAAACCAATCAACAGACTTCGATCTTATTTTAGTTTATTCAAGCATAGCTAGGTGCTTTTAGATTTCTTTAGATACATTTGATAAGCCTTAAGAACCGAAAGTCCGAAGAAATTGTTGACTTGCTGAATGGATATCAAATACTTCTTGAAGTTGTCTAAGGTGAATTCTAATGTGTTGTATAAATTGTCTAGAACTGACTTAGATCTACTTAGTCTATCTATAATTTCATCTCTTGATTTTGGTATCTCAAATCTGTCTCCTTAAAAGGAATCACAAACTCTTTACATTCTTTCTCTTAAGTATTATGATCCTAGAGGGAATATGACAAAATAGATAGTGATATCTAGAGTGTTTCCATAATAATCATATACCTTCTCCTTTAGATCAAAGAATTAAGTGTAAGCTTTTCCTCTGGATACTCTGAAAACAAGCCTCTTCATTCTTTGTTGTTCAGCTGCAGATATTGTTCCAACTAGTGGTGCGAATAAACTATATTTAGAAGCACCTTATTTCTTTAATTGCTTTCCTAAAAGTGAGCTCTCCTCCTCTTCATCATCTCCGTCTGACTATACTCCATAACTTTCCCCACTAAAACTATTGTAATCATCAAATTTAATACCTAATATTAAGTTCTATATTTTGAAGTAAGTCTAGTGATCGACTAAGAATATTTTTGACAATGATCTGTGTGTTAAAGCTCTTATGCAATTCCTTGATTTGATGAACTTAATTCAAAACGAATTTCTCCTTATCTTGAGCGTCTTGCTGAATATGATCAAGTAAAAAGGTCTCATCCTATATTTTAAGAATAAGATATCATTTTCTTAGAAAGTGGTATAATAATCCAAAATATTGTTTTCAGTCGATACATTTAGCTCATGATCTTTGTAATAACCCAGAAATTCTTATTAGACTTACCTTCCCATTGACTAGTTTATCTACGATCTTATTGAATTCTTGAGTATCAGCTGGGGTTTTCATCTCTATATTATGTCTAATGCATTCACTTTCAATCATCCTGTATTTATAGCATTAATATTTCTTAAGTTTAAACCTTACTGAATTCTTCTCTCTGTTTCATCAATAGCCTTTATAACTCTAGCGAATTGCTGCTCATGAGGCATTTTATCTGCATTGAGATCGATGAAATGAAGACAGTTCAGCTTGCCTAGCTCATTGATGGTATGCCAGGCGTCATCCTTCTGCATAATCAGCTAATATAGCTGCATATCCTCGGATCTACAATAAATTCATTATCATCTTTTAAAATTTAGTATATATGAGTGAGTGATGTAAGCAGTCTAGCCAACAATATCCATAATAATTTTCAAATTATGTTAATATCCATTATAAATTGAGGTAGAAGATATAAGAATTCAAAACTTTACACATCGGAATGTTAAGTTTGAATCTTATATAAAAATATAATTTGTGACAGAGCTTTGAAAAGAAAAGAAGAGGCAACTTACCTAAATATTCCCATTTTTAATTTAAGATTATTCAATTAAATTCAATTTTATGATTCTTAAGCAGGCGGGGTTTTGGGGTTTTGGGGAGATCGGAAGAGCGT